ATTTGAAGTGCCTGTGCCCAATAGAAGATGTCATCTTCTAAAGAAGACAGACAGGCTTCCCATCGTCTTATTTGTAAAAAGTACGATCTTATGTCGCAAACTTCTCATTTACGACATACCATCCCTTCCAATGGCTTCCAGTGTTGTATCTGTTGTATTTTTTTTAAATATTGTTTTTTTGTTCCGCCACAACAAGTCTGAGTAGCAGTTGCACATTTTTGGCGAACACACAAGTGTTGGTGTATTTATTTTTTTAAGAGATTGGCTTTATAACGTTAGCTGCAAAAAAGACGAAAATAATATGAGGACGTGTGGCACAAAGTATTGGCTGTTCTACGACGACGTTTAGTGCGGTACGGTGCATTACACACCGATGGTAGTCTGTATAGGATTTCAGATTTTAATAACAATTTACACAAATGCCATTTAAAGTCGTTGTAAGTGTCAGATCTGTGTCGTTATGAGCTGTTGAGAACCATGAAACGAGGAATATTCACAGGCAGCGGGGCAGAGCTACAGACGGACCATTTAATGCCAGTTAAAGTGTTTAAAATGACAAGATTATTTAATTAACGGGTCATTAATATGACACCAATTACTAATTATGGCAATTGAATAACGATTTCGACGACTTTGCAAGTGTTGAGAGAGAAGTGGTTAACCCCGAACTGGCTGGCAGGCACGCACGCACTCACTCACTCACGAACGCGCGCACACACACACGACGTGCCAGACAATAAACATGTCAACCATGTCTTTGTGGTTTAATTTTGATGGTATTTTGTGGTGGAATTCTTAGTTGTCGTCAGCGTCATGGCCATCATCATCGATGTCAACTGGAGCATCATCATCGTCATCATCATCGCAATAACAACAACAACAATAACAACTCATAGAAGTGTGCTCAAACATTTAGCAATTGCTGCATTAATCATTTTAACTAAACTCGCATACGAAATTAAAACGTGCTTGCCTCCCCCCAATACCCTCCCCACGCTTGTTATGGTCGGAACAATATTAAACCCAACAGGCGTTCTTTGGCAAACCCGAAATTCTCATTACAAATTCAAAAAACAATCGTATTGCTTTGTGACGACAAAAAAAAAAGAATAGCAACCAAAAAAAGAACCCCTCCCCCTCCCAAAAGCACGAAACCGGTGTAGCTTGACGCACAAACCCCAAAAGCGGCACAACGAATAAACGGTCAGCTAGCCAAACAGCATACATTCATATTTTCGTCGGTGTTTTGTTGTTGTTGTTAAGACCACCAGAGAGATACAATGTATGGCTATTGGCATTGCGTTCTGCAGTAAACGAACCGGCCAGCTTCGTTGTGCCGTTGGGTTGGTCAGATGGCCGGAATCACTGGTCAATGAATAACAGGAATATTAAAATCCAAACAACTTATGTTATGCCAACGACAACAAAAACAATAACAACACGAAAAAATAATATTTTTTGGCAAAAGAAATGAAAATATTTACATTTGAAAATAAAAGTGGAGAGTTGCCGATGTGTTTGAAATTGTGCAGCGCTCAGGGAGACTTGTGATAAAATATCAAAGACAAAATTTTGGGAAAAGGAAGTAATCATGGGCCTTATATCACATAATATTGGAAATATATTATTTGGAAATTGGCGCCGGTACAAATATGTAACAAAAATCCCGATATTAAACTCGACCATGTCAAATGAAAAAAATATATATATATTTAAAGGATTAGAGATCTACATAATTTTAGATGTAATTCGAACAATTTTATTCACAATTCAATAATATTTCAAGACCTGAGAGTGCAGTTCTCGAAGGGAGTATTGGTACATTATACCTGCCCCAAAAAGGTCAACATTGTCTTCTATAGAAGAAGACTGGAAACCCTCATCTTCTGTAGAAGCGGACTTGAAGTCCTCATCTTCTATAGAAGAGGACTTGAAGTCCTCATCTTCTATAGAAGAGAACTTGAAGTCCTCGTTTTCTATAGAAGAGGACTTGAAGTCCTCGTTTTCTATAGAAGAGGACTTGAAGTCCTCAACTTCTATAGAAGAGGACTTGAAGTCCTCAACTTCTATAGAAGAGGACTTGAAGTCCTCAAATTCTATAGAAGAGGACTTGAAGCCCTCAACTTCTATAGAAGAGGACTTGAAGTCCTCAACTTCTATAGAAGAGGACTTGAAGTCCTCAACTTCTATAGAAGAGGACTTGAAGTCCTCAACTTCTATAGAAGAGGACTTGACGTCTTCAACTTCTATAGAAGAGGACTTGAAAACCTCATCTTATAAAGAAGAGGACTTGAAAACCTCATCTTATAAAGAAGTGGACTTGAAGTCCTCATCTTGGACATGGAAACCCCATCTTCTTTAGAAGATGACTTAAAGTCTGATTTCTATAGGAGATGATATTAAGTTCTCATCTGTGAAGGAGAGGACTTAAAGAGGACTTTTAAGTCCTCATCTTCTAGAGGGATCGATTTATAACCATACCAAAATTAGGTGTCAATTTAAGTGGTACACCGCGGCATTTAAGCCTGTACCACATATTGGGCAGATGAGCTTAAGACTGCTATCAATTCAGGGCCAAATTTCAGTTGGCCAAAACTACTCTGGTTGTCGAGGCAGCTCACTTCAGCCGCGATGGGTGGCGGATGATTTCTGATGATCTCTATGACTGCATCAGAGTGAATACTACTCAGTCGAGCTTGATATGCCTGTTTCACTGGATCAGGGCCAGGATATAGTAGGCACCAGTGCCTTCAATGAGTGTAATTCTCTTCACACTCACAATCGACAGTAATAAGAGAGTAATAAAAATTTGGTGATCATAAATGTACCACTCTCTGTGGCGCTGCGGAGAGCCTATAGATCTCTCTTATGCCTCTCTCTATCTCTTGATCAGTGCATGGAAGGGAGTAAAAGCTTTTTGTGTTTCAATTTTGCTACTCACTGACCATTTTTTTCAAGGGTTCTGATTCTGAGAATGGAGAGAATTACACCCATTGAAGGCACGCGTGCGTGCTATCGCCTGGTTCTACTCTAAATCGTCAGTGTATTTCTTTAGAAGCCTGGGCGCTTGTGGCCTATGTACCAAGTGCTGACAGGAGTAGCTATACATATTTGTACTGGGCATAGATGGACTCTCAGAAACTATGAGGTATATGACATAACAACCCACTTGAGACCCATTATGTAGAATGCTACAATTATTTAGAATTTTTTGAGTTTTTTTTACTTAACGACGTTCCATACAGGTATATAACGTTTTTGACGTTTCAACCTAAAAAACATAAAAAATGCCATTCGGTCCATCATGGTACCGGCTGTAGGGCCCTTATGGAAAATCACGGTGGCTGTTGTTTTTAACAAAACCACATTAAGAGCTCTTGCTAAAATTAGTAAAAACAGTTTCAAGACGTTAAGATAATTGGCTCACAAGAATGTATGAAAACCTGAAGTTTGGAAGACTCCTCTGGTGCACCGACAATCGCGTCTAGTCAGGTGTGGACTAACCTAACGATGACTAAAATGTGGTTTATTCTGGACAAAGTATATTTCTCGAACTGTGAGTAGTTATTGGCAAGAAATATATTGTTTCCTTTCACAGGAGCGGGAGACTGTCCTTGGGACTTTTGAAGTGGCGTTCAGTATCAACAGCTTAAATACAGTTCTCAATTCTGAAGAACTTTGCCAATTTTTGTTCCATGAAAAAAAAATTCTCATCCCATTTTGTTCTCATATCAAGTTCCAGCTGACGTCTATATAAAAATCTGTTCTAATATATCCGTCCATTATCAAACACATAACATAAGTACAATTCCATTATTCCATCTTTCTGGCAACACTATAACCTATTAATTTTTTTAAAAGAATTTTAAATTCCAATTCTAGCCGCTTTTCAATCATTTATTACGCGCTCTTCGATTATAGCGTGTTGAAGACGATGAGTGTGCTCTTGTAGCGAATAGAATTTCATACGCATTTCAGTTCAATATTATGTCGCCAAGTGAAAAGAAGCACCGGTATTTGAACCCTATACCTCCCAGCTAAACGATATCGTATCAAAACACAAAGTTAAACACAGATATCGGCTGTACGACAACAAAAAACACCAAAACCTACAATAATTGATCGATGACGTTTGTCGACGAAAGAGCCAAGAGTCTAGTCGGGCCTATCAATATTTATATACGAATTATTCATTTTATTTAACAAAAATAAATAAATGGGGAACAACCACAAAATTCAGACCACAATTCATCAAAAAAAACAATTGTAGAAAGCAATAAAAATAACACCAAAAAAATATTTAATAATAATTTGTGAAACTACAAAATAAAGCAAACAAGAAATTCAAATGTGTAAAAAGCCAATACACTATAAAAAATTCCGAAAAAAATCTTTCTATGCCTTATGACGGTGTCAAGTGTCCATCAACACCAATTGCGGGCGAGTGTAAAGTGGTCGGCGGTGTTCGGTGCGAATTGCTCTGTTCGGTGTGTGATTTATTTGTTCGCTATTAATTGATATTAATTAAAGTGTAAATGCTGGACAGCCGTCTTGCGAAACGAGGCCCATATCTGCGTCAAACCTCCAGGCCACAGAGCAACGAGACACTTCAATTCCAATTCAAATTCAATAGAAAAACGGTCAGAGCAAAACGACGACAAATCATCTGCGTACGCTGTGTTTGCCTATTGAATAGTTGTTCGGTACGATATTGGACAACAGCAACAACAACGACGACAACACGAAATCATAAGACATCAAACCGCAAAACGTGTCATTTGCTTAAATGAAACTAAAAAAAAAACAACAAAAAGCACCGACCACACATTCTCGAAATGTAGTGCATTCTTATGAATGCACCGAACAGCCAGCCGCCACCAGACAAAACAACAGCAACTATTTAACAATGGTTACACACACAAACACATACACTCAATGGAGAATAGAAAATAATTAACAAACTGCGATCGACAAGAACAACAATATTTTACAACACTTACCGAATTCAGTCAGACAATATCGATTTGTTTGGTGCCAGAATTCACGTGCCAAAGTATCTGAAAGAACCAAGCGAATTGTATCGTCTTAATGTTGTTGTTTTTTTTCAATTTAAACAAGTGAAATGTTACACAAAACAATAAACAATTGTTAATTGTAATAAACTGTGAAATATAGAAATCTAAGTGGGATATTTGTTGGAAATGACACTCAGAAAAAATGGATGAGTATAAAATACAAAAAAAAAAAAATTAGTTTTTAAAGATCTATATTTTTGAGAGAGAGAGAGAGAGAGAGAGAAGAAGAAGATATGGCAGGGACAAGGTCCTATACAGAGTTTTCTTGTCCCTTCGATCACTTATCTACCAGTCTATAAGGATTAGTTCCACTTTCAAATGACCATCTGATCATTCTGAAGAAAACATAAGTTTTACTCAGAACGAACACCTGCCGTATGAAATCTCACCGACGACCATAAACATTATTGATGACCATTAGTTTTTTACAGAAAATCATTGGGTCTTCTAATAGAAAATCGCCCAGGTGATATTATTGAAAGAAAAGCGACGGGTCTTCGTAATAGGTCTACTTTTGGAAAGCCACCATAAGAACACCAACTTTCATACAGAAAGCAGGTTTTTTTTAAATCTAAAATACATTTTTCAAAAATACATCGGGCTTTCTTCCAGAATACCAACAGGTCTCCTTCTAGAAGACAATCATTCTCAGACAACAAGATCTTCTTAAGGAGGGTCATTAGGCTTCATTTACATACATCAAGTAGAATACCAAAAGGTCTTCATATTTGAGTAACCATGGCCTTTTTATAGAACATCCTTCTCTGTCTTATAGAAGACCTCTCAGTTTTCTTATAGAAAGACAATCAGATGTCCGACTTATAGAATTTTATCAGAAAAAATGCTTATTAGAGAAGACCAAAAGACCAAAGGTCTTCTTATAGAAGACCACCAAATTTTCATATAGAAGACCAGACTATTGGTTACAGGAGGTATGTAGGCCTTCTTCAGAATCATCAGATCACCATCAGTTCGCCATATAGAAGTCTGACTTTTCATTTTATGGAAGACCTCTATCTTTTTAGAGAAGACCAGCATTTCTTTTAATAGAAAATTTTCAAAATTTGCCATAGAAGGATAGCAGGTCTTCTTTCAGAAGGTTACCAAGTCCTCTTATAGAATTTCTTATAAAAACCAGTAGACCTTCTCATAGCCAACCACCTGCTTTTCTGCTTCGTCATTTTTTGAAGAAAACAAATATATCTTCTTGTATTTTCTTATAGAAGACCACCAGCTTCTCTTACAGAAAGTCTACGTCTTCTTCTTTTAATTGGTCACAAGTTCTGATATAAAATTTCTCACAGAAGCCCAATAAGTTTTTTCATAGCCGACCACCTGTTCTTCTTTTAGAAAAATACCAAGAATTTTCAAGAAAATCGCAAGAAAGCTTTTCATAGAAGACATATGGTTTTTCTTACAGAAGTACATCAACTCCTCTTAAAAAAGAACGCCAGTCTTCCATAGAAGAGAACAATATCTTTTAGAGGACACCATCATGTCTTTTGTTGAAAAAGTGACATGTAAGGAATTGTGAAAAAAATAAAATAAAAAGAAAGTGTTTTTCATTTCAGGTTCTCATAGAACAAGAATCCTGGCCCAAGTCTTCTACTCTCACATGGGTTTCAGATCTTCATAAAGAATTTCTTATAGAAAGCAGTAGGCCTTCTAATAACGAACAACTTTGTCTTCCAAGAATACCAAGTCTTCTAGAAAAACAAGAATTTTTTACAAAGGACAGGTAGATCTTAAAAAAGATAGTTGGAATTTCTTAAAAAAAAAGATCGCCAGCTCCTCTTACAAAAGATTTTCGTCTTCTTTTTTGAGATCGACATCAAGTCATGCTATAGAATTTCTTATAGAGGACCATTATTATTTGTTTTACCCAGTCTTCTAGAAACCGCCAAAACTCTATGTAGAGGACTGCCGGATTTTCATCTAGCTCGATTTCCATTTACAGGAGATCGCAAGGCCTTTTTACAGAAGAACTACTTCGTTTTGTTGGACATCATCTTGCCTTTTGTTGAAACAATAGGTAGGTCTTCTTAAAAATTTCTGGTTTTTCTCAGTTCCCACCGGCGAATCTCCTTATGGAAAATTATCAAGAGAACGCCTACAAAAAAACCGCTTCGTATGAAGGTCAACCACGTCTTTCCTTTTTGGATTTCCTTATAAATGGCAATCAGGTTTTCACATAGAAGACCCCAAGAGGATACCACAAAATTTGCAGTTCTCCTACGAGAAGAAAGACACCAATCTTTTTATGGAAAATCATTAGTTCGTCTTATTGGAAATACAAAATATTCTTTTGACAGAACACAATATCTTTTTATCAAATTACAGGTCCTCTTATAATGCATTCCTGGATCTCGTTTTGAAGTCACTAACGTTTCTAAAGAAGAACACAGAGAAAAATTTTCAAATTGAAATGTGCCGATCTTTTCCTAAAGGCCACGAAGTTCTCGTTAGATAGACTACTGTTAAGTGTTTCTATAAAGAACCCCCTGGCTCCAGTAATAGATGTTCAGAATAATTCTAGACTAGCATCGCATCTAATTGTAAAGAAATGTATTTTTATACAAATCCAAATTAAAAGGGTTTTTCTTAAAACAGAGGTTGAATATTAAGAATTCACTGTTTTTTTCTCGAGTGTCTTGCAATATTTCATACAATGTGGTTTTCAAAACAACAAGAATGCAGTAAAAAAATTAACACCTTTACAAAATTAGCCAGTCAAATAAAAATGGGTATAAAAATAAATGAATGCCGCAAGGCCTCCAGATAATTACCCATAAAAATTTTAATCTAAATTTATAATAAGGTCCCACGAAAAGTTAATAGGCTATGGAGATATAGTATTTTCTTTAAATTTCTAGTAGACGATAGAGTATTTTTCCAAAAAGTAAAATGGCAATTAAAAATCTCTTTAATTTTAAGGCTTGCAAAATATTTCCAAAGCTCCGGGTGAATTTCCAAAAAACACCCCACATGACCATATTGGCCATAAAAAATAGTACAAAATGTGTGAATTGTATGAAAACAAATTAAATGGCTCGCAAACATGCTATTAAAAGTACAAAATAAAAATAAAAAAAAAACAAATTCATTTAGCAACAGACGTAGAAAGACCAGGTTTGTTACCTGGAAAACAAAACGAAACGAAAACAAAAAATAAAAAACTGGAAAATATTTATTAAATACTTCTTGGAATTCAGTTAATTCAAAACTAGACTAGAAATGCCAAGGCAAAGGAGAATATTTATAACCTTAATGTCGCAAAAGTGGGAGATTGATTGTTGTGATCAAGGAATATTGGACAAAGTGGTGATAGGATTTAATTAATTTTTGAAAGGAATATTTTCAAAGACTAGAATGTATAAAAGGGAGTATAATTTAATTTTTTGTTTATTTAGGAATATAAAGTTTGACCCAAGAGGAATACTTCATTGTGTCCCATACCTGTGAAGTATAATTACAGCCAAACACTTAACAAAATACCTTCCCACTTTTTTTTAGTTTCTCAATATGTTAACAGTTTTGTCAACATTTTTCAATTGGCTACTTTAGAGATACATATGTACAATACTAAATAAATACTTCACTCATATTGCCGTTGTTGTTCTATTTGTTTTATTAGTGAACGAAACTAGCAAAGCAAACAAATATCATTTACACAACCCCAACTGCCTTTGCTCTGGGCTCAACATGATAAATCGATAGATACGAATAAAGGCGGTTAGATACGCATAATTTCCAATAAAAACAGAGAATAGAAACCCATTAACCTTCAACCGAACCACAGCCACAAGTAATATATATTAGTTAGAAGCTATAGCGACATTTATGCTACTGCCATTTCATTTTTCGACTCTGAAAATTTTCATTGACGTTTTGTGAGATTATTTAACAACAACAAAAAAATAACTGGAACAAGAGAACAGTGAAAAAATGGCATTTAAGGCGACATAATTGGAAAATTTGTGAAAAACTGGTTTAGCACAATTGCATTTTCCCCCACTACTATTTTTTTGCCATTGTGTACTGTCATCATCATCATCGATATGCTGCGTAGACAGATTTTAATTGCCAAACGAATTTTTCCACAAAACTCAATAATTAAGATTTGTAGCAATCTGCCTTTATTTTCTTCTTTTTGCTGTAGACGTTCATCTGCACCGACTCCTGTTTCGTGTTCACGCCAGCTATTAAATGTTAATTTTTATTAGCACCGTTTTATTTGTTTTCTGGCATGGCAATGCAAAATTTACTTTGATAGTTTTATTGCAAAAAACAACAATAAACTAAACATTTGGCTTGACAGCAAAAACAGAAAAACGAAAAAAAAAATATGTAGGCTATAATGAGTGCAGACAGAGCAAAATAATATCAATAAATTTGGGTTAGTAGATAAGTTTAAATAGTTTTGGATAAATAAATAGCCCGCAGAGTGAGAGAATTTGTTAGCTTGGATAAAAATGTGTAAAAAAATATGAGAAAAATTTAAGAAATGTTATTAATACAAAGGAATTTTTAGTTATTTTTTAATTCTGTTCAGGAGAAAGAGAGTGAGATCCAAAAGCCATGAAGAGTAAACGTGGAACGATCTTTAAACCATAATCATTTAGAACGACGAAAAATATTTAGGGTATATAGCAGGCTAAGAGGCTACTAAGCAGACGAGGTCTATAGAACTCCTAATAAGTTGAAGGTAAGACGGAAATAATGATGTTCAACTTGTCTTAATATTTTTCTTAGTGGGCTCTTTAGAGCTTGCAGTAGACAAAGATAATGTTTCCCCTGTTTTGTCGTTACTGTCCCAATGTTGCAGTGACCAATATTAACGGCCACCACGATTTTTTGATTAGACTTCGGTGGGAAAGCATTTCTTTCTACACACTTGACTTAGATCCTCCTTAGGACAGTTCTTCCTTAAGCCAGTTCCTCCACAATGTTGTAATGTTCCGGATCATTACAACATTGTAGAAAAACATATAAACTATATACCCTTCTAGGTTCTTCCTTCGGTTACAAATGTCATTGATTCAATGCTTCCAATTGACATCCATAAGAACCTGATTTTTAAGAAACCTTTCAGCTTAAAGGAGCATCCAAATGCTGATTATTGCAAAAAGAATCCGATAATCATAAATTCTTCATCAAAGATTCCATGATATTCCATACTGTCCAAACATAAATACTTGTCCGCGTTCCTATCAAAAATGCGTTTCATGTTGGATCTGCATTCCTCAAGATGGCAAGATTCGAGACAATGTGGTCTTCTATAAGAGATTACTTTCTATTCTTTTATGGGAAGAAGACTATCTGATCTTGTATGAGAAGAAGACCTGCGGGTCTTCTATGACAAGAAGACCTTTGAATCTTCTTATAGAGATCTTTTTGTCTTCTATGAGAAGTCGAATTCCGGGTTGTATAGGTCTTTCAGTTTTCAACTAGAAGAACTTCTAATCTTATGCTAGAAGACGGTCTCTCTCGTACCAACTATGAATAGAAAACCTCCTCTTCTTAAATGAGAAGATCTTGTCATCTTATATGGGAAGACCATTTGGAGTTCAGTGAGAAGTCCTTTCAGTGTTCAATAAGAAGACCTTGTCTTCAATTAGAAAAACTTCTGGGCATAGTCGTTTTTCTTCTATGGCAAAAGCTCCTGATCTTCTATGAAGAGTTCCAGGATTTCTATGAGAAGAGCTCCTGGATGCTATGAGAAGAGTCCCTAGTCTTCTATTAGAAGAGCTCCTGGTCTTCCATAAGAAGAGTTCTATGAGAAGATCCCCTGCTCTTCTATTAGAAGAGCTCCTTGTCTTCTATGAGAAGAGCCCTGCTCTGCTATGAGAAGTGTTCCTGGTGTTCTATGAGAAGAGTTCCTGGTCTTCTATGTGATGAGCTCCTGGTCTTCTATGAGAAGAGATTCTACCCTGCTATGAGAAGAGCTCTTGGTATTCTATGAGAAGTGCTTCCTGTTTTCTATGAGAAGAGTCCCTTGTCTTAGGAGTGTTCCTTTTCATCTTTAGAATGCCTATTAAACGTTTTCAATCTGTAGGACATCTTTAGCACATCATCTTCTTGTGGAAGGTAGACAGATGTTGTCGTAGTGAATTTTTTAGGATTTTCTAACACGGCCACAAAAATTTAATGATCTTGATATAACTCATATCATCAACCACATTTTCATTTTTAAAATCCGTCTATAATTGGCCGTCTTCTGAAATAGGTTGGAATTCTAATCATAAATTCAGGCCATTTTGACTAGATGTCGTGTGTGGCCTTATAAACTAGACTTTTTATTGCCCTAGATTAAAATCGAGTAAAACGATCTAGATTTTATTCAGCTCCTAAAATTTATTGCAATCTCACTTTAAAATAATTCTAATTCTCTGTTCTCAAACCAACCCAATTGGGTGCAGGAGTAATAAATATGGTGGAGAAGTTCCTTGTTTGTTATAGCATTTATTGTTTTTGTTATTATTGTTTTTATTATTAGTGTTATAACTCTAAATTTCATTATTATTGTATAAAATTTTAAAAAGTTAAATCACAGCCTTCTCTAACTCTTTCCATTATAATCGCCAATAATTTTTATTCTACACATACTTGTGTTACCAACACTTAATAACTTCCGAAATTTCCCTTTAAATATGTATTTATTCTTTTGAAAAGTGTTTTATAAAAAAAAACCTTTTTACCTTCATTAAATACCTGTACTCTACTAAAAATCCCTTCATTAATTCCTATTTAAATAAATTCTTACTCTTTTTCTCACAATATATGAAATTATACTCTCTCTCACTCTCCCTCCACAATAACACTTCTCATTGTTTCTCATTACTTACTATGAAAAAGAAAAAACAACGGCAACGGCAAACAATCACAATTTCTTTTTGGCATAAATGATTAACGTGTTGCTTGTATTTACAAAGAACAACAGCACTGAGAAAATAAACAAAATAAGGAAACAGCAGCAACAACAATATTACAAGATAAGAAGAAGAAGAAGCACGGCAATACTACATCAACAAAAGGTGCAAGAAAGCAACAGTAACAACAATGGCAAGAACCCCAGTCTCATGTTTGCCTTCACAGGAACTCTCAGTTTTCCCACAAACAAAATGTGTAAAAGAAAACCCAACAACAACAACAGCAACAACCATATTAAATTAAAGAAACCCACAATTAACCAAGAAGCAACCCCTTTTGCAAAATTCGTACATATTTACACAGCTATTAGAGAGATTAAAAGGGGCAAAACACACACAGAGAAAGAGCGAGAGAGAGAGAGAGAGTCTCACACACATTTTCTCCCCCAGAAACACACACAAAGTATATCTCCCAAAGGCACTAAGAGGAGAGAGAGAGCGATTGAGAGTAATTCCAACAAAACCTGTGGCTTTTTGTTGACCAAAGTAATGCAAAGGAATAAAAGCTTTTGTGCTACCCTTAAAGCTCTCGATGCTCACAGGAAGGAAACTCAGAGAAAAATCACAACGATTTTCACCACTCACATGACGATGGCGGCGGCGATGATGGGCCCCCCAAATATAGCAGCAACATTAACGCCACTCTGACTGCCACACATTGAGCACATCGTTCGTTGGTTGTACTGCTGCTGCTGCTGCTACTACTGCTCGACGTACATTGGAGGTATCCAACGAAAAACTTTTCACAACGTTGCGAATTGTGGAGCCAAACGGACGTGTATGTAAAAACGCTGGCGCTCGCCGTTAGTTTGTGTTGTGTTTTCTTGTTGTTTTAAAGAAAATCTCAAAGGAAAAAAATAAAATTGTGAATGATTGAATAAAAAAAAGCAAAACCAATTCAAAAGACCCCATTCACTTTAACGAAACAAGACACTGACAAGAGATCGAAACGTTGGTGGTGGTGGTGGCGGATGGTGTTCTTCTCCTCCATTGATGAAAGAAAGAAATATGCATTCTTGGCAAAAACGAAATCCCCAAACGTTACGTTGAGTGATACGCGGCGAGTGTTTTGTGAACGGCAACAACAAAATATAAATAAATAAATATCCATAACAAAAAAAAAAAAATAAAAATAAAAGCAAACGATAGTAGCAACAACAAACACACAACAGAATAACAAATCAACAATGCCAGACAGTATAATTAAATAATTGATGTTTAGAAAATAAAGCCCAAAAGAGAAACGCAAGAAGACTACCGCCATCAACGAACCTGATACGACAACGACGACAACGCCAATGATGATGAATTAGAATGAAAATTTGTTAAACAAAAAAAAAAAACAAGAACAAGACAAGACAACAAAAAAAAAATAATTAATTAAATAACTAAACATTTTGTCAGAAGCTAATCGATAGTCTTTAACGACAAATTACCAAACAAGAAAACGTTAAACGTGTGAAACGACAAATGGTCACATAATTCAAATTGGATTGTGCGGGAGGAGAAGAAGTAGGAGGAGGCAGGGATGGGAAAATGACCAATTATATGACTGTGCTTAGACCCGCTTGCGTGCCGTTGGAAAACTGTTGCATTTTATGCTTAACTTTGAAAATCTAAAAAAAGGACCAAGTGAATGTGCAATGATATAATAACAACAAAACGAATGATAAAAGCGGCAACAACAACTAACGACGTCATTGTGCAGATTTTGTTCGATTGTTTATTGTCTTGTCCCAGTATTGGATTTCTTTTGGTTGCATTACCTCCTCCAGCCAAAAAGAGTGCCAATAACCCAACCATCAAAGCCAACAGCTACATGGAATCTTTCATTCATTCATTCATTCCTTCACTCATTCATCCATCCTTCATTGTATTGACTTTTGTTGTTATTCTTGTGTTTGTGTGTGTGTGTGTGGGGGGGGGGGGTATAGCCCTCGTCATCGTTGACATGGACATCCACATTTCGCCCATTGTCTATGTTAAGCTATTTTGACTTGTGCGTGTGTATTTGTGCGGCGCCGTTTTATTAATTAAATGAAATAAACTCTCTTTTCCGTTTGTTGATGTTCTGTCTGAGCTACTACTGACTTTGATGCCAGCCCCTATCGCATTGAATTGTTTTGATTGATCCGCAAGTTTGTTAAAAATCCTCTGGATTCTTTGGTAAAAAAATAGCTTTTGTAATTGAAAAAATAATGTTTCGTTGGAATATTCAACCAAAATATGTATTTCAATATAAACTTTTCCAAATATTTGCTTGGTTTAAAGGACCTAGACCAAGATGACGAAGGATAAATTGTTTAATTGTTCTTAATAATGAAAAAATTAGGACAGTAGTAATTGAAAATAAATGAAAATTACATTGAATTTTCCTATAAAAACTTGAAGTTCTCCTAAAATTGGACAGATACGAAGACCTTATAGGCAAACCAATTTTAGTATTTTAATGGATTAAAAAAGGAATTTTGGAAAATGGTTATTTCGTTTGCAACACCTCGAAGTATGCAGTAAAATACAGTACGAATATGTTTGAAATTTGGCCAACATATCCCTTCACTTTTAGATATACCTCCTACATAGAGGTACCTACACATTTTCGATATTTTAAATTTTTTTAAAATTCCGTTAGAAAGGTCCAATAAAATCAGCTGTTATTTAAAATTTCGGTTTCCCAGTAGTTATTTTTAAACCTCGCAAAAATATTGTATTAATGCCCACTTTTCGGGTTCACAGGGAACATGTTTCTTCCTCGCCAATAATATTGAATGAAGGTGTAATTTTTTATGTTTAATATGTGGGCTATATTAAGGTACCATCTGGTGTTTTGTATTTAAAGATTTTGAATGTTTCGGCCCCAATTTCCAACCAAATCAACTATAATTTGCTATTCAGTTTTTCAACTTTTAAATAGATATTCAATACACAGGGTGAGATAAAAAAAATGGCAACAAAGTCAAACGCCATAATTTTTACATTTTTTTTTTTAATTTTATTGAATGAAAACAAAAATGTCGGAAATAGCATCAAATTTTCGAATAAGTTTGAATTTGTCACCTTTATGGCCTTCAAACGGCCAGTGAAACCGTCACACGCTGCCCGAATGTTGCTCTTCGGTATTTTGGCTCATTCCCGGTGAAGCGCTTGCTTGAGGTGATCGACACTTTGGTAGCGTTTAGTGCCAACTTTGCTTTTTAAAATACTCCAGACACAGTAGTCCAACGGATTGGTATCCGGAGATTGTGTTGGCCATTGTGCACTGGAAATGAAGCGATGAACCTCATTTTGTAACCATTCTTGGGTGGCGCGTTCTGAGTGCGACGGTGCTGAGTCCTGTTGGAATGCTCAAGGTCTGCGACCAAAATGTTTGCGTGCCCAAGGCTTTAATACACCCTCCAGAATATTTTCACGATAATATTCGGCATTTATTCTGATGCCACAGTCGATTTAAACGAGCATAGAGCGACCATCGGCTTTTATGGCGGCCCACACCATCACCATGGCCGGCGCTTGAGTTCTGGTGGCCAACCAAGGTGCACATTTTCAGCGGACCACTTTGCACACCGAATATTTTCTCATCGGAGAAAACCAAATACGGCAGCTCACCACTTTTGACCGAGCAACGAAGTAACTCTTTGCCTCTTTTGAATCTATTTTCTTTCTGTTTTTGTTGCGGTGTAAGTTCTTGCACTTTTTGGAGTTTCAATTGATTTACGCCGAGCTCATTTTTTTTTTAATATTTGCATAATGGAATATTGCGATGTGTTCAGCTCACGAGCCATTTTTCGGCCACTGTGACGGGGGTATCGATCAAGTCGATTCTTTACTTTTCGCACCATTTCTGCTGATGTTGCTGTTTTCTTCCGTCCACTTTTTTGACGTCGGGCTACGCTACCAGTATCACGGTAACGAGCGATGCTACGAGACACAAAAGATTTAATCACATTTAAATGCTGGAGTGCTCTAACGATAGCCACTTGTGGTTTTCCAGCCAAATATAAAGAAATCACACTATCACGCTTGAATTCCATCACGGAAAACTTTTTTGGATAATTCTCACCAAAATGCTTCTGAACGCTTGTAAACAATATAATGAGCTGCCACTGGAGTAATTTTAAAAGCTGTCGGACGAGTGGCTTGGAAATGACAGAAGTCTGAAGTTGGTTGCAGTTTTTTTTCATCTCACCCTATAAATATGATACCTTTCCGTACTTATCAAATGTATTTGGTACAAAAAACTGTTTGGGACTAAAATCTGTACGCAGACACCACCCAAAAAAAATTAGAGTTCCACCTGTTCCCAACCGCTTCATGCTAATGTCATATTATTTCTTACATTTTAGTACATTTTCTTACCAATGAAAAAATCTCTGATACCTTTTGGTACTTTTTTACATTCTTTTGTTACGAAAAGCGAGTTTGTACACTACGCTGATCACCCAGCTGTTTTTTGATAAAATATCATAATTGAGAGCCCTAGATGTTCCCAATCGCTCAATACCAATTGTACATTTTTAAGTCCTTTTTAGAACTTTTTCCTACCTTCTTACAAAATATTTGTAAGAAGGTATGTATTATAATAATTAATAGAGACATTATTAGTATTCAAAATATAGAGGTCTAACTCCTCCTTATAACTTAATAACAGAGGCACTATATTTAATACCTCTTAGCACTTTTCATAGTTATTGCACAGATCTTCAAAAAAATGGTTTTCTGGGTTTAATGAAAAAAGTAGACACATAAATAATCGAGCTAAAAGGACGAAATAGACATAATTTTTTGGACTTTATGAGAGGACCTATTGGCTTTCCCTCTTGGCTTTTAAGTGTCTACAAAACCATTTTTAATCAACAAAAATATATTTTAGCCAAATTGCATTATTATATTAAGCCTAGTATTATATTTCACATCAAAACTGAAATCACTTTGTGTTCAGCATCATAAACTTTTATGTCTATTTACGCAATCCATTTTCAAGCCAAAGTCATCAAAAAACCAAGGCCGTAATCAATTCTACGAAAAGTGGTATTAAAACGGCATCATTTTTATTCATGATCACATTTTTTTCAACTCAATTAAATATTTGAGCTACAATTTCAAAACTGGATCATCAAAACGTAACCGCACTAACTCACACACACTCACACACGTCATTGTTATGTGATAGTTCAGGTCTTTTGTAAATCAATAAAAAAAACAGACGCTAATAGAAAAAAAAAGCATTTCAGCGGAAAATACAACAGCTACAAAAGGTGCAAGAATACACACAAAGCCCCTCATTAACGATGGTGATGAGCGAGTGAACAAATGAACGCACAAACGAACGAAAGTATGAACCGCCATGATATGGAGGTGATACGGAACAAAGGAGAAAAATATAAAAAAACAACAACACAAAACTAAAACGCATAATTAGAAAACTAGCTAATGGCTAAAGAATAAATAATACAAAAAGAAAATTAAAAGTGCCTGAAAAGGATAACTGGAAATACATAACAAAGAGAGAGAGAAACTTGCAAAACGCCATAAATGAGCAAATTAAAAAAAACATCAAAACCATATAAAAATGTTTTTAATTGTCATAATTATTTTTTTTTAATTTTTCCTAAATAACATCATTTATTTTATAAACAATTTTCTTTTAGTTAGGAGGATAGCAGACAAAAAAACAACAAAAATAAATAAGAAAGAGAGAGAAAAAAACACAAAAAACCCCATGAGAATGAAATAACACAATGCCATAATGGAGATATAGACAACAATTAAAACAAACAAACAAAAAATAAGTAAAACAACAACATACACACAAATAAACAAACAACAACAACATATAAATAGTGCTAAATTAAACAAAAAATCCGACAGCAAACACAACATCACATACAAGGAAAAATCCAGCACCGATCATTTAGCAACCGTAAAAAACAAATCATCATCAAAAACTTGCATTTAAGTAAAGTCAACAACAAAAACAACAACTCGAATCCAATCACCACTCAAGCGGCAATGTCCGAACACAACAGCGAAAACAATGGCGAGCAACAGGCAGCCCAGGGCACGGCCGACGAAGCCGTGGGCGAGAACAAAATGAAGTCCCGGCTGCGCAAGGGAGCCCTGAAAAAGAAAAACGTTTTCAATGTCAAGGATCACTGCTTCATACCGCGCTTCTTCAAGCAGCCCACCTTCTGTTCACATTGCAAAGATTTCATATGGTAAGTACCACCCCCCCTAGATGTAATTAAGTATCATTCTCTCACCCCTTCCCTCCTTACCCTGCTCATTCGAATCAATTATCTAATCAATTTAACAACACTTCCAAGAGGCGACAACCCCAATTAATTAGCCAAGCAAAGCTTTACAATTTTTTAATTGTTTCAGTTGTTGTTGTTGTTTTTTTTTTTTTTTTGTTTTTTTTTTTTTGTTTTTGTTCTTGCTATTTCGAAATTCCTTACTATGCATTTATTCATAAGCATTCGCCGCTAGTTGGCTAGTATGCGCTTAAGCTGGAAAAACGTTGTGGTCACCAGCGTGACTGGCAACAAAAAACTTGTAACTCATTATGCAAATGGCGAACGAATATGACAGTGAATTAAGCTGAGGTGTCGTGTGGATGGGTGGGGGTTGGTTTTGGAATGACAAATATTTAGGAAATTAATGAAATTTAAATATTTAATGAAAATAAAACTAGTCAAAAAGTATCAATCGGGTTTGCCGACAGATATATACCCTCAGCTAATGAATAATGCTAAGATTATTCAAATTGTTGACCTTCTATTCCGGTAAGTCCATTGTCATATCAGATTTCTGGTTGAGGGAAATATTTAAATGGTTCGATCTCTACCATCTTTATAACAGATCTTGTGTTGATGGAAATATTGAGATGTACCAAGTCTGAATGGAAGCGGAAGTTAATTTCGAGTTTTATGAGCTCCATGGAATATTCAAAATTTTTACCTTTTTGTGGTGGAGGTACCAGAAGAAGTGCACTGATAGATCCTATCGTCAATGCAGATATATATTTAGTAGAAATAATTGGATGTATACAATATGAAGAGAACCGGATGCATATTTCAGATTTTAAAATCGTTTCGGTTATTCAAAACTTTGACCCTTTGTGGGGGAGGTACACGAAGGAATGGGTCGAGCTCCACCATCTTTGTAGCAGATGTTGTGTTGAAAAAAATTTCAGATGTGCCAAGTTTAAATGGTATCGGATGTTATTTTTGGATTGTTTGAGCTACCACAGGTACCAAAAGGATTGAACCAATATATCCCATATTCACACCAGACCTTTGGTTTGTTAAAAAAGTATTGGGATGTGTGAAATTTAATGACAATCGGACTTTTAATTCACCTTTTATAAGAGTTATAATTATTCAAAATGTTGACCTTTTGTGTGGGAGGTACCAGAAGAAGTGCACCGACATATCCCATATTCACAGCAGATCTTTATGTAGTAAAAATAATGGGATGTGTGAAATATGAAGAGAACCGGATGCATATTTCGGATTTTATAATCGTCAAAACGTTGACCCCTTGTGAGGGAGATGCTAGAAGTAATGGGCCGAGCTCGACCATCTTTGTAGCTGATGATGTGTTGATAGAAATATTCAGATTTGCCAAGTCTGAATGGAATCGGATGTTAGTTTTGCGTTTTATGAGCTTCATGAATATTTCAAATTTTGACCCTTTGTGGTGAGGTACCAGGAGGTATCATATCTTCATAGCAGATCTTGTATTAGTAGAAATAATGGAATGTGTGAAATATGAAGAGAACCGGATGCTTATTTCAGTTTTTATAATCGTTTTGATTATTCAAAAGTTTGACCCTATGTGTGGGAGGTACCAGAAGGAATGGTCCGATCTCCACCATCTTTATAACAGATCATGTGTTGATAGAAATATACAGATAAGCCAAGTCTGAATGAAATCGAAAGTTAGTTGCGTGTCTTATGAGATTCGTGAATATTCAAAATTTGGACCCTTTGTGGGGGAGGTACCAGAAGGATTGAACCGATATATTATATTTCATTTCCATATTCACACCAGACCTTGGGTTAATAAAAATATTGTGATGTATGTAATTTGAAGTCAATCGGACTCTTATATCACATTTGAGAAGAGTTATAATTGTTCAAAATGTTGACCCTTTGTGGGGGAGGTACTTGATGAAGTGGACCGATATTGTTATTTTCGCACCTGACCTAGCACTGATGCAAATAATAGGATTTTCAAATTTGGAACAAAATCGGTTTATCCTTTCTCTTTCTGTGCTGTATCTTTTTTTGAAAATTTCGACTTTTTGTGGGGGAGGAACTAATTTTGCCCATATCCGAACTTGATCTAAGTTTGACAATAATATTACGAAGAACCAAGTTTGGACAAAGTCGCTTATACTCCCTTCAAGAGTTATGGTGCGCACTAGCCAGACCGACGGACTGACAGACATTGCAAGATGACTCCAAACGTCCTGAAGCGCATTTGGTTCAAAGACACCTAGGGTCTAAAACCGTTATTTCGACTAGGCACATTTTGACCTATCAAATGATATATACCCTCTCTAGTCTTATGGTTGATGGTATAATAAGAAACAACAATGCCAATACAGAAAATGAGGGAAGCAAACTTATATTTGATCTCGAATATTGTTCACAAAAAAATTAAAAACTACCATCTCTGGGAAAACACCCTTTCAACCAAGGAATACCATAGGCTTCTTAAAAATAGCAACTGCAGAATTTGCACTTTTATGTCTATTTTTCCCATCTATCACTTTATTACATTCCCTTCAGACCACTTCGTCTCTCTCTCTGCAAAACCCTTACCCACAATGGATTGTTATGGTCGTCTTCTTTTCTCTCTCGCTCTGCAATCCTGCATAATGTGATAATAAAGGAAATCTCTGGTATTTATGTAATTACATTTCTTTGGATTTACAAATACAACAACAACTACAAAAAATATATATTTAAGAGGAAAAGCTTCTGCATTGCTGGCCATTTACAAGAAGCCATTAAAAAAACTTTAATACCATTAGAAGAACTTCAGGAAGTTTGCAGTAATGGACTACTGACTGCATTGTCCGTTTATTTTTTCTTCTATGGCATGAATAAACGGATGAATTTGGATTCCCGCGAGTTTTAGCCGGCCATTGGTGTTTGTTTATTTCATTTTTTTGTTGTGTTTTATTTTGTTCTTGGTTTTGAAGGGAAGCCATAAAAAAGAAAGTCACTGTAGTTTTTGCTCATTGTTGTTGATTTTATCATTGAACAGTAAATACTTCTAATGAGGGGTGGAACTGGTGGAAATGTAGCTATTTTAAAAACTTATGGATATTGCATACATACATACACAATAAAAAAAGTTAAAATAAGTTTGAGGAGAAGATAATAATTGGAACAAATTAAAATGAGTTGTTTATGAAGAGAAGAAAAATGTTTTAAGAAAAATACCCTTGGGAGTTTGAGTTAATTAAACATAAAAAGCGTTGGGGAAGTTGTGATAATTTTGACACCTTGAATTAGTTTCTAGACATAATTAAATATTTTTTTTTAATTAGCAAGAAGGCAGGGTAAAGGCATTGACCGAGGCAAGGAAAAATGGAGAAATTTCAATATCTTCCTCTAGAAACTCTTAAGGTATTTGGAGCATATAAATACACTTAAAACACTCATTACAAGAAAAACTCAACAGATTTTGAAATTAGAGCTACAATGAGGGACAAGTGCATCGATATTTTGGAAGAATGCATCGCAAAGTAATCTTTTCCCACATCTTTTGAAATTTTTGGATCAAGATTCCCTGGAATTTGAACATTTAAGCTTAAAGGTCTCTTCGGCCATGTTAGGGATACAAGGATTATTTTGGTCGAAAATTTAAAAAATGAGGGGAGTTTTTGAACTTTTTTTCAAAATATGGCTAAAAACTCCGATTAAACGGCATCGTATTCTAGAAATTTACTTGTCACAAAATTCTATTATTGGTTCTAGAAGAACTCAAACGCCTAGATCTTACGTAATCGCCAGAAATTCACATTTATAAACATTAAAAACACATTTCAGGGTTAAAGCCGTACTTAATTTATGCAAATTTCTCCCAGAAAACATCATTTTGGAAGGATGGCGTCAAGTAAAAAATATTCTAGATGAAAATCCACTATAAGCCATTGAAGAAAAGATATCTCTACTTCTATTATATATCAGGAAAATACTGCTGTCGGTATTGCCAAAAATACGAAATTATTTTCTAATTTTTTGATAAATTTTTCCTCGGACTTTTTTCGAGTTGTTGCGAGAATGTAGAACAAAATTTCATTTTAGAGAGAAAATGTCAAAAGATAAAATATTCTAAATAAAATTTCACTATAAGTCTCAGGCTATATCATAGATCTAGGTTGAATAGTTTTTAAGAAAATTACATTCGAATTTTGAATATTTCAAGCGAAATTTTGTGTTTACGATTTTTACTGCTAAGTTTCTATGTTTCCATTCTAAGACAAAATCTCCCCGAGTTCTTCATTTTTTGGGGAAAGTGTTGAAAGCAGAAAAAAGTAGAAAAAAAAGCATTACATTTTACAATAAGTTTTGATTTGTTCGAATTGGTCACCTTTGGCACGAATTATGGCCTTCAAGCGGCCATTGAAACCGTCACACGCTCTCCGAATTTTGCTCTGCGGTATTTTGGTCCATTCCCGGCGAAGCGCTTGCTTGAGATTATCGAGACTTTGGTATTTTTTAGTGCCAACCTTGCGTTCCAAAATACTCCAGACACAATAGTCCAACGGATTGGTATCCGGAGATTGTGGCGGCCATTTGTAACCATTCTTGGGTGGCGCGTGCTGAGTGCGATGGTGCTGAGTCCTTTTGGAATGTCCAAAGTCTGCGTCCAAAATGTTTGCGTGCCCAAGCGACCATCGGCTCTTATGCGGCCCACACCATCACCATGGGCGGCGCTTGAGTTCTGGTGGCCAACCGAAAGTTCCTCTTTGGCAAGTAAGCACGATCATTTTCTTTGTTTACAAACTGCTGGACAACGAATGTTTTCTCATCGGAGAAAACCAAATTCGGCCAACCAAGTCTACCACGAGCCATTTTTCGACCACTGCGACGCGGGTTTCGATCAAGTCGCTTCTTTACTTTCCAACAATTTCTACTGATGTTGCTGTTTTCTTCCGTCCACTTCCCTATTGACTTCATGAAGGCTACCATGACCC